AAAAAAATTCTGTATCAATATAAATATATACGGTAAAAATATTTTGAAAATCTTTAATAATTTATTCGAAATAAATAAAAATATACATATAAATAACGCGTTTGCTATCTGATACATAAATCTGCATCGGAAAATAAAAAGGAAAAGAAGAGGAGGATTTTTTTTTTGTTTTTTGCTTGAAGCCAATCTGCATTCGCGATCTTTCTGAAAAATCACCTTAGGCAAGCACTATATCTTTCTCAGCTAGTATTTCAGTTAGTAGCTAGCTTAGATTATTACTCGCCTAATGAAAGGAGTAGAAAACACCTCAGACCATCATCAATAGAAGGGAAACACGTCTGCTCCTGAATCGTTAATCATACCCCCGAAAAAAAAGCATTAGAAGTAACAACAACATTTTTACAAATTACTATTTTGCTTTGGTATTTTAATAAAATTTATTAACTTATACGAATAATATTTTATAAAATACAAAGATTATACAGCTGTGTTTTCGTTTATATTGTCGTACTTATAAATAAGTTATAAAATCTTTACAAACGGGCAGTAAACTGACAAAATAAAGTACAAATCTCTGCTCCATTTTCTCCATTTTTATCACGTTTAAGTGAATCAAGAATGAAGAGAATCGAGATTAAAAAATAAATAAAAGTTATTACACAAGTTGTCTGTCCGCGAAAATCGCTTGAATTTCTCTCGTGAATCTAAATCTTTATATAATTTGCTACTTTATATGCTACGCTGTTTCTCGTTTGTTCTTTGGCTTATTGAGAGAAGGGGGATTGTGTGTGGAAATTCAGATGGATTGTATTCGACCCCTCCCATTATAGGAATGGAACACTTCATCCCAGTCTTATACCCGGAAGTCTCTCAAAGTTTCTTTACAGATCCTACTTTATTTTTGATTTATTTTTATATGAAAATGGCATTAAATTCTGAAATTATTTTTTTGAATATTTGAATTTTTACGTCAGACCAATAATAAATCGATAAAGTTCATCCCAAAGAAGCTTAATTTATAAAGAGGTGTACCATATAAATCAACAATAAAGAATATAATAAATTCCTATAAAAAATGTACTTTTTTTCAAAATTACACATTTAAAAATGTCATTATTTAATTCTGTAATAATTAAATTAAATGCAAATTGATTATAATTAACAGACCGACCTTAAGATTGTTATTTTTTAAATTTTTATTTATTTAAATAATTAAATAAGTTATATTACATTTAATTACTATGTTTAAAAAATAATAATAAAGTTTCAAAACGAAACAATTGCTTATACACGAAACAAAATTGAATGTAATAAATAGCCTTAATTTACGAAATAAATATTATTATTATATAATCTTTAAAACTTACGATTATATATTATCTATTGTTCAGATTTGGCATTCAAAGAACGACTCCTTCCTAAATAAAAAAAAAAGAAGTAAGAAAAATATATAATTAGGAAAGGAATCCACGAACATCTGGATCATAGCAAATTGTCGTTGGGCATTGATTAAATGCTGTACGCGTATTTAAAAAGTACAGCACAATCGACGTACGTCAAAAAATTTAACACTTAAATATTTTCCACTCAAGTAATCATTCATAAAATGAAACTGGAAGATGTGTCAACGCCATTTAAAAACAAAAATAAACTAGAAATTAAGATTAACATAATACTAACATTTTATTTTCTTTAATTTTACGGGAAATTTATTAAAATTTAAACACTACTTTCGTACAATACTTTATGCTTCAAAGGCGCCATCCAGGAACAGTTACATTAACTAGAATAATTTTAGAAACTTGTCTGTTAAATGTTTTATATAATATTAATTTAATTTTATTAATTATATATAAAAAAATTTCCTTATATTTCTATTGGTTATATTATTATATTCTTTATCTATTCTACGATGAGGCCTTTCGGGTGTCGAGAGATGCCTGGGCCATTTACCTTCTTGAGGAAACTATTATATTTAAGCACAAACAAACGTTAAAGTGTTATATTAGATAGTTTTTAAATAATAAAATTTGACACATAAGAAATGAAATGGGATGAATAATTTGTAGCACGTGTTTTTGAGGCCCTGGTAAATGCGAGACTAGACTCAAATGGCTCTCTGGCCACTCCCTATGAAAGGGCCTGTATGTGGTTCTCTTCATTCGTTAAAAATGTCTTACGTTTTAGTTTAATTTCCACAAAAAAAGTGATTAAACTTGATAAATACATGTATAATAAATAGGATTATCTTAAACTTTACAGTAGCTCGTAAAGTCATTTAATTTTTAAAATGTAAGGAGAATTTTCCTATTTTTTATTTTATATAAATCTTCTTTACTTAATTAATAAGAATTTTTTATAGTGCATGTGTTGAAACATCAATAATTTAGTAGAAAATTCAATCTACAGATGTCAAGAAAAATCATTCAGTAATCTTCGAGGAGATTTTTTTAAGTCAAAAGGCGTTGCCCTGTATTAAAAAAAGAGTCATTTATCTCTTTATTAATTAACGTTCTTTTAACTGAAACTAATGATAATATTTTTATTTTTATAAATGTTTTCGTTCTAATTACGAAAAATATTTAACTAATGTTTTATTTATGAAAGTATTTACTTCATAATTAATACATTTATAAAAATATATAATTAATAGTGTTTAAAATAGTCATTTATACTCTTTTAAAATTTTTAAATATATATATTGTGTTTTACTTTAAATATGGGATTTTTTGTGTGTAAAAATATGTTAGGAGAAGTTGAAATTTTACTACAGTCGAGCTTTTGTTGAATAGAAACGTTGACAGCTCTTTAAAACAACGGGCCATTTCTCTTAAAATAGTAGACCATTGATTTCTTTGTGGAAAGAATAGGCTTACTTGCTTGGGGCATTTAATAAAAAATAAAAAAAACACTCAGATGAACAGATGGTGTTCGGAACATTGTTCCCTTAGGGGTGATGTAGATCTATAGAATAAGATGTCAGACGGGAGTCGTCGAGGTCAAGTGCCCTAGCACGCTTGAATTACCTTGACAGGTGTGGGTGCCAATTTACAGGTGCGTGAGGGATTTTAATTATAAAATATTTCTAGTTTAATTTCTAACCCATAACATTTCATTCAACTGATTCATTAAAAAAATGTCTAACTTAGAGAAATTACGTCACAGAACTGTTCTGTTTGATAAAGAAAAAATGACATTTCGAGAAAACAATGCTCTTAAGGGATCAAATATTATAAACCATTATTTTCTTAACTCTCGCACAGTAGCAAGGTTCCCCCTTAGGGAGACAAGACATGATTGATGAAGTGATAATCAATACCTGAAGCCAAACGAAACGTTCCAGACTGTGTTCGTGATAGATAAACGTTGGTTAGTCATTTGAGAAGAAAGACAAATCACTTTAAACTTTTAAAACTAGGTATGAGATTTTTAAAACTATTTTATACGTAACATTAAAAAACAAGTTATATTTTCGAAAAAGTTAGTCTTTTTATTATTATTATTATAAATTATTTTTTCTAAAAGTAATTGCTATTCGAATTAACATTTACAAAATAATCCTTTGGACATTAATCAGCTTTTAAAAAATGACAAATATTTATATATCTGAATAATTGTTACAATTCATCTTCTAGACGTTTTAAATGTTTATATCAATCGATAGTTTATCGCAATGTACACAAAATTTTAATGAAAAATACGTTTGAAATGCAGGCCACCTATGCGTTACCCCGAAGGTTCATATCTATCGATTCTGAGCACGCCGTCAAATAATTATTGTGACAAAATTGAGCTGAGTGTTTTTTTTTTCTTTTTTTTTTCTAAATTTAACCCTCCACCCCGAGTTGATTGCAGTATTTTTTCTTCCTCTTTGAATTTTTTTTTCTTTTAAAATTCTATCGAAACTGACAGAAGATATCTGTCTCCCTCTTCGGGTCTTTAACCCTATTAGAAAGACTGCAGTCATTTATTTGAGTTGATTGGTGCTCACCCTAGCCAATTACAATCTACCTTAAGGCTTTTTACTGTCAAACAATTGTACTATTGCTCGAAAACAAAATGAGCACAACTGTGTTTATGTCGCTTACAATTCATCAAATATGATATAAATATTCTATATTCTTTCTATAATGTTTCATTAACTTTAACAATATACTAATGCCTTATCTTTAAATTACATTTATTAATACCCCTTAATGCATTTTAGTATTTTTATTATCTATATATTCTACACTTATCTATCAGTCTACTCTATATACTGCCATAGTTATTATAATATGCATACAATGACATATATACTACTATATATAATATACTACTTTGGTTGTTATTTATTTACTTGTTATAATTCTTGCTTGTATCAATATATATAGGAATATATTGATTTGAATTGGGAAATGTTGAATAATATACATTCTTGATGTAATAAAAATAATCGTACTTTTTAGTAAATTATAAATAAAGTATTAAGTCTATATTTATTTAAAAACTTTATAATATTAAATAATATAAAGTTTATTAATTAATTTACAACAATAACATATTTATTGTACAACGTATTTAAAGAATACAAGTGTAATTATGATGGAACACTGCAGGATTTATAATACTGTAACTGGGTTATTTATGTCGAAATATTATTTATGGTTAAATATAAAAGTTTAAATTTATTATTGAAATAGAAGAATATTTCATTTGTGTAACTCTTAAATTTGTTTAAGTTATGAGAAAATTTTAAGTTTATAATTTATTAACCTATTTAATAAGTAAGATAAGCTACATTTTATTATCAAATTTAATTTTATTCTTATGAATAATTCATTATAATATAATATAATATATAAAATA